TATTTCTCTAAAGAAGCACTTCCCCATTAACACTTCACAATAACTTACAAAAGCAGCCAAAGCAAAAAGTACCATTCTCAGTTTCCCAGGTAAACTCCTCACTCCATTCACTCCAAGGCCCGTGGTAGCCATCAGTATTCACCCTTGCGCGCATTCTCCCCCTGTATTTTGTAGATGATTCCAGCATCTGGAGGGTGAAGATGAAGGAAGGCTCATCGTTGATGATATCAATCGTCTGGAGAGTCTGGGGGAAGGAAGAAGTACAAAACGAGGAGAGGAGGGGAATAATCTTTCCCATTCATCRYGCAAAYAGAAATCCAGGAATGCCATTCTTTCTATGGCTTACCTTTTCATATTGATTGTCCTTCCAGTATTGGACTTCGTATCTCTGTTTTATGAAGTCATATTGCAAAGTGTGTTTTATCCACCTCATTTCATACTCCTGGTTCTTTCTCATGGTTACCGACACATTTGTGGGTGGCAGCACCCTGACTGGGACACACACAATGTCTCGGTATCAGCACACTGCTCTAACACCAGCATTCACCCCACTGCACGGACCAAGCCTGAAGAGTGTTTTGCTCTCCAATATAGTCTATCTCAGTTATTCCTTCTTCCTCACATTTTTCCCCAGGCAAAGATTACAAACCATTCCCCTCCTTAAATAGAAGAGATTCAATATTTACAAGTAGGAGGGCGTAGCACTGGTATCTCTGGAGATATGCAGGCACAGAAGATTTGTGTAAGGAACCTCAGTTAACAGTGGAGTCCTATTCCATCAGTGCTCCAGGAGCCACTATGGGGAGTCTCAACAGCTCCACTGGGTTCTTGTGAAATCTCTTTGAAACACTACCTGCAAATGCCTCTCACCACCACCTCTTGTCAGCTGGGGCATCCACAGAGGATAATGATATTCTAWCCACAGCAAAGTCAGCAAGACAATAGGGAATCATCTAGGAGCTCTGGACCAGATGCTGATCTTCTTTGCAGCACTTTATTGTAGGAATGTACGTAGAAGAAACTGAGTGGGCACACTGAACCAGCCATACAAGAAGGTTAACAGAGCTGACCAACCGCCAACCAAGCAGGAACACATGCTGTCCTCTGGAAGCAGAGAATTGTCCTATCAAAGAGTGTGCACCCACGTTTAGGGATAGAATAATTGTATACAAGGGTTAGTTATCTGCAATAAAATGGCTTATTCCTATGATTCACATTGAACCATCTGAAGTCCATTTTGTCCCTCACTTTATTCCTCAGCATCACAACAGTTCCTGAGCCTAGCACAGCACAGCACAGCAGTTCCAGGCCTCCAAGGCACCTTCCCAGAACTCCAACATGTCTCARTGTCTAGCTCTTTTCCTCATCACTTCTATCATTATCCCTTCCCTCCCAATTCTCCCCACCAACATTATTCCCATAGCCTCCTGGCAGTCCCAGATTGCCCACAGAAAAATATCCCAGGAGAAGCAAAGCACAACACCAGGGCTTACTGTTCTTGTAGGCTTCAATCAGTTTCTCCTCTGGTTTGGTCCGAACAGCTACATGGTACTGGCTCTGARCACTGGTGTTGGTAACAGTGATCTCACAGCKCTGGACCACATAGGGAGCATGGGGCAAAGTCTTCTCCTGCACAGGAGAGCACTCCTGCTCTCTGAGGGAGAGAAAGTGGAGATTGTGCTGACATAAATGGGAACGGGACAGAGCAGACGCACATTGCCAGAGGCTGGTCACGTACACTGATGCTGAAGTGGTCTTGAAGAACAAGCCAAAGAGGACAGAGGTGRTGATCTCCTTCTTCACTTCCCAGCTGCACAGCAGGCGATCCACACCATTGAAGCTACAGCGAAGGTTCCTGGGTTGAATGTCACCTTGAGAGAAGATCAGAGCAAACTAAGCAACAGGCAAGGTCTGGGAGAAAGCTGTTGTCTGGGTCTGTCAATAAAATGGCATGGAAAGCATTCTGGCAGAAGGCAGATGGAGACTAGCTATTATTTCCACCTCAAACATCTGCAGGYACCTCARGAGTATTCTGCCCCTTCATGCAAGGGGATGCAATTCCCACAGCACAACACAAGTGCAGAAATGCCCTCTCCACAAAGCACATCCCAAATCACAGGTAGTGTCCACAGAGTTTACTAGACCACACACAGAGGGGCATGACATTAAGCCCTTTCCTTAGTGCTCACAGTATTCCAGTGACAAAAGAGCAGCTGTGTTGGACAGTAGAAAGCAGTGGCTTTAAAGGGCTGGCCCTGCTTCTCCTGGCCCTGCTTCTCCTCATGCCATTCCCATTCCTGGTCTGTAGGACTAAACAAAGAATGAAAAGTCCCCATCACTTCTCACCTAGGTCACTGCTCTGATGCCAAGTCAAGATGGAGGCACAAGCAGGAGTGAGGATCACTGCCACAGTGGACCACCTGCATCCTCCCCTGTGGATGGCCCATCGTTCCTTAGGCCAGGCTGCAGTTCTCTGCCACCACAGAGGGGTAAGGCACATCCCTGGCACCCTGGATTCTCAGCCAGCCCTTCCATCCCCACACAGCCCCGCTTTGCCCCAYGCTACCTTCTGGCRTCTCCCACGATGCCTCCGTGCTCCACTCGCTGAACTGCCCAGAGAAGCCACCGCTCTGCCCTGGCCGGGCTCGCACACGGGCCACGTAGCTGCTGCCCGGAACGAGGCCTTCATGGCTGAGACGGCAACGCGTCGTGTTGGAKAGTGAAAGCGAGGCAGCCTTCTGTTAGTGAGGGAAATTGGAGAGGGAGGGAGGAAGAGGAGAAATAGGAATTAGCATGCAGAGAAGGGAGGAGGGAAGTCAAGGAAAGAGCAAGGGAAAATGACTATYAGGGAACACACCAGAGAGATCTTTTGGAGAGCCCGATAGCATCTCCAAACATTCYCATGAGTGTGATCATYATCAGGCATGGTGTATTGTAGYGCTCTGGGGGAATGTTGGAGGGATTTTGGTGTGCATGCAACCTCTATAACCAGGAGGGACGRGGCAGAAGCATTACTCAGTAAATCTACCCGCRCACATGCACTGACTCTTGCAGCTTTAAGAAGCTCATTTCTCTTCAGCATCAGCTACGTATYGCAGAGCACTGCCCAGTGCAGAACTGTGCAGGAATKTGGCCAAGATATTTCCCATGAAAAGTAGAGATCCAGCTGACAGGTAYAGAAACARAGGCAGATTTGGGSAAATAATAGAGGAAAGGAAATTCTCTCTGAAAAAATTAAAACCATTTTTCTTGCCGGGGAACAACTTCCAACAGTTTTTGYCTATCTTCTCACAAGGACCYACAGKTTCATCTTGAAACATGCTTTAATTTCATTCCAAAGGGCCTTAACGTAGACTCCATAGTATCCTTATGATTGGAAAAGATCTTCAAAATCATTAAGTCTAACCGTAAACCCTTAAACACCATACCTCCTAAGTCATGTCCCTAAGTGTCTCATCTACACATTTCTTGAACTCCAGCAGAGACGGTGGCTCCAACACTACCCTGGACAGCCTTTTCCGATGCTTCACTAGACTTTCTGTGTATATATTTTTCCTAAAATCTTACCTGAAGCTACCCTGGCACCATTTGAGTCCTTTTCCTCTTATCCTTATTGCAGTTATTTTGGAGAAGAAATCAACTCCCACTTCACTGCAACCTCTTTTCAGGTAGTTGCAGAGACCAATAAGGTCACCTCTGAGCCTTGTCTTCTGCAGACTCAATAACCCCAGCTTCTTCAGCCCCTCCTCATAAGGTCTGTGTTCTGACAAACCCTTCACCAGCTTTGTTGCCCTTCTTTAGACTCACTCTAACACCTCCAAGTCTTCCCTGTAGTGAGGGGCCCAAAACTGAACACAGTATCTGAGGTGAAGAGTACAAATTCCAGTTCAAATTTCAAGTGCTTCAAGTTCTTCAAGTGCTTCAAGTGCTTCTTTCTGTACAGAGTGGATTTTTGCCCTTGGTTTAAAAGCAGCACTATTTCACTGAACAAGCCATGTGCACATAGGAACAAAGCCACCTGCCTGACCAGAAATACCACTTACTGCATCTCTTGGTAGTGCTTGAGAACCTAAAGGCCAGAAATTTGCCCAGCTTTTACTGCAGCATCTTGACCCCCATAAAAGGCAYGCACAGCCCACCCCAGAACAGCCCAGCTCTCTGTTCTTACCTCCCAGGACTCCCACTTCTGCTTGTAAGTCACTTCATACTCCAGTGCATTGCTCAGGCCTGGGATTCCTTCATATCCTTTCCATGTCAGCAAGAAGTCTCCTGATGTCATCAAGCTGACCGACAGGTTTTGAGGTGGGAGGAGCTGAACTGMAAGGTGAAGGTACAACGGGTGAGATGCCAGAGGTACATAAAATAGCAAACTTCCCTATCTCTATGATATCTTATGCTTTCTACAGCATGTTGCTCCCAGATGAGTGCCCTCTTCCAGTTGGAGCAGTATCAGAACCTTTTCCTCTCCCTTCCCTGCCCTTCYTGCCCTGCTAATGTGGAACCATTTGAGGGATTTCACAAAACAAGTCATATTCATTTCTCACCTGGGCAGAAGGATTAATAACTTTTGTTTCTGAAGGATATCTAATACCTAATACTTATCTAATATTCATGTGAACATGGTATTTAATCCTTACCAGTCTTGTAAAGGTGAACATTCAATTCTGCTTGAAGTGTCTTGTTTGGCTTGAAGCTGTAAATATCATCTACTCCTATTCCAAAAATGTTTACAGTGCTGTGACATACCCAGTGGATGTAGAATTTGGGGGCCTTATGAAACTCATTTTCTGCCTGAGGCTTGCAATGCATCTCTTCATTCTTCCTGTGTTTAAAAATAAAGATGATTTTTAAAGAGCTGATTTGGAAATACATAACTAATCTCAAATTAAATACCTAAAAACAATTCTGTCTTTTTCTGTTGTAGTTTTCCTGGATTCTTATATCTGCATAATCACTTTACTTATTATTGTTGTTTGACTTTCATCAATATAACATTTTTAGTGTGAAGATTTTTCTCAAATGCATTCCTCTTTCAAAAGTGTGCAGCAGAATGTTATGCTTTCATTTTATTTTTGTTAGCTTTTACGCTAAATGTACAGATTCTCATATTTTTATATAAAAATGCTATCATGAATAATAATGTCATGGAAATGCACCTTTCATTCAGCGTGAAAGGCAATAAAGGTTTCTGAAGATCCTTAGCTCTTTGAAGAAGTTCATTTATCAGGCTCAGAGCTTGCTTTTTTCTCTCTCTTTCTAAACAAAATACRCTTTTATATTCTTAGCAGTGTTCTGTCAAGGGACTTTAGGTATTCATCAAAGTTTTAATCTCAGTGCTAAGCATCCTTTTAGAAATCCTTTCTCCAGGCCAAGGAGCTTCTTGGAGATTAAAAACAATATTTTAAACTAGACAGAAGACCATAAGCATTGTGTTCTTGCAGTAGCCTTAGCCACTAAAGAGATGTGTTGTTTCTTTTTGCACCATCCAGAATTCTGCTTGTGTTTATGGCTTCATGCCCAGTTATATTACATTGTTCTCAGTTACTTTACATTGAAAAACAGACGTGACCATCTGTCATGCAGGTATCTAAAATAAAATGAGGTGTACACCTACTAGATTTAGGTGTCTGACATAATATAATTTTCTTGTGGTGGGATATTTCCCATAACTGGAATGCAGCAATGAGTGGATCTTGGGCAGGAAGGCAAGGAGTGGGGAGTTTCCCTTTATGTGAGAGCAATTGGACTGCCTAAGAGTTATGCCAAAGGATGGGTGGGGGACCAGCTCAGGATCAGCAGGCGGATTAATGTGAGCGACATTGTAATGAGTGTTTGCTATAGATTGTGTGATCAGGAAGAAGAACTAGATAAGTCTTTCAGAAAAAAAACAGAAGAAATCTCATGTTTGCAGGCCTTTGTCCTCATGGGCCTGATACCCCATATCAACCACCCTGATATCTGCTGGAGGGACTGTATAGCAGAGCAGAAGCAATCCAGGAAGTTTCTATAGTCTACTGATGACAATTTCCTAACAAAGGTGATCAAGTTGCTGATTAGGAGAGGCACACTGCTTGACCTCAAACTTACAAATAAGGAAAGACTGGTTAGRATTCTGAATGTCAGGCAAATCTTGGCTGCAGTGACAATGAGATGAGATGGCGAAGCTCAGATTCTGCAAGAAGGGAAGCAGGGGAAAAAACAGGATCACAACCCTGAACTTAAAAAGAGGAGACCAGCCTGTTCAGGGATATGCCTTGATAGGATGCCAAAGCAAATAGGATATAGGGCTGAAGGGAATAGGAGTCCAACCAATATGGTTGATATTCAATAACCACCTCCTCCAAGCTTAAGCATGGTCTATCTCAATTAGCAGGAAACCAGCAAAGGCTGATGGAGCGTTTCTCTTGCATGGAGAAACAAGGAACACCTGACCAGACTCGGATATAAAAAGGAATGATACAAGTGGTGAAAGTAGGGATGGGTGATTCTGGAGTAATACAGAGAGACTGTTCAAGGGTACAGGGACGGAGTGAGGAAAGCCAAAGCCTATCTGGAATTTAAACTGGCATGAAATGAGAAAGGCAATAAGAAAGGCTTCTTTAAGTGCACAAGCAGCAAAGCGGAGGCTAAGGAAAACATAAGGTGAATAAAGAGAAAAGGGGCAGTTGTGGCAAAAGATATAGAAATTGTGGTGACAAAGGACATAGAAGAGAGAAAGGTATTAAATGCATTCTTTGCCTCAGTCTTCACCAGTAAAATAAGCCATCAGGTAACCCAGGCACTTGAGAGAGGAGGGAAAGTCTGCAGCAAGGAAGACTTACCCTTAGTGGAAGAGGATCAGCCTAGGGAATGCTTAAACAAAATGGTCATACACAAGTCTTTAGGCAGGATGCCCTGAATTGCTGAGAGTGCTGAGCTGACTAATGTCGTTTCAAGGTCATTCTTGATAATCTTTGAAAGAAAGGTTCCTGAGTCCTGGAGAAAAGCACATGTCTCCTTTTGATTCAAGTAGGGTAAGAAAAGGATCTGTGGACCTACAGGTTGGTCAATCTCACCTTGATCCCTGGGTAGGTAATGGAAGTARACTAATGCTGGAAACCATTTTCAGGCGCATGAAGGACATTAAAGTGGCTGGGCATAGACAGCATGGGTTTACAATGGGGAATTCATGCTTAACCCACCTGATAGCCTCCTGTGATGTAGGCTGTCTTGATGGATGAGGAGAAAAGCAATGGATGTTGTTTACCTTGACTTTAGTAAACCTTTTGTCAGCATCTACCTTATAAGCAAAAATGATGAATTATGGGCTACATAAGTGGATGGTGGGATAGACTAAAACCAGCTGAACTGCYGAAGTCAGAGGGTTGTGATACAAAGTCCAGCTGGAGGCCAGTCACTAGCGGTGTCATACTGGGTCCAATACTCTTGTAATGTTTAAACCAATGTTTAATATCTTTATTAATGACCCATATGATGGGACTGAATGCCCTCTTAGCAAGTTCAACATGACACAGAGAGGAATGGCTGATAGACCAGATACACCACTGCAGTTCAGAGGGACCTTGACTGGCTGAAGAAATGGGCAGAGAAGAACCTCATGAAGTTTCGCAAAGGGAAATGCAAAGCCCTGTACCTAGAGAAAAACAGCCTTATATACCAGTGTACCAACCAGTCAGAAAGCAGCTCTGCAGAGAAGGACTTGAGAGCCCTAGTCGACAAGCTGAGCATAACCTACAATGTATCTTAGTGACRATGTACCTTAGTGGCAAAGAAAGTCAATGATATTCTGGCCTGCATGAGGAAGAGCGTTGCCATCATGTCAAGGGAGGAGAACCTTCCTTTCTTTTTAGCACTCCTGAGGCCACATCTGGTCCACTGAGTCCAGTTCTGTCCCCAGTAAAAGAAAAGACTCATTGATATATCAATATCAATGCTTACAAATATTTGATTGGCATGTGTAAAGAAAATAGAGCCAGTCTGTTTTCAGTGGTGCACAATGACAGGAAAAGAGGCAGCTGGCATTTATTGGAAATTMCATCCGAACAAAAGAAAACACTTATTTTTGAGTGTTGGGTAAGGGTGATTGAACACTGGAACAGATTGCCTGGGAAAGCTGTGGAGTGTCTATCCATGGAGATATTCAAAAGCTATGATTCTGATCAAGCTGCCAAATGGACAGCAGTGTTGGTCCACTGTTGCTTAAGCAGCAGTGTTGGACCAGATGATCTGCAGTGGTTTCTTCCAACATTATCTTTTTTTGTGATTCTATGATTCTCTGATTCTGCTCCAGCTCAAATGAGAGATATTGTCACAAATGTCTGAGGTCCAGTCCTGCCTTTCAGGACTTGAAAGAGTCTATGTCAGGAAGCATTGGTCAGTAATACTGCTATTTTTAAATTTTTTAAATTTTTTAAATATTGACCATACGGGGGTGTGTGTCTTTAACCACAAGTGTTAGTCTTAGAGATGTGAAATGTAGAAGATGCTTCTGTCTATATACTAGCATCAACCCATAGTTTCAATTTATTCAGGTATTCTTCATCTATGAGCTGACCTTATTTAATCACTGGCTGTTTTGATGTCAGCTGTATGACTGTCCACACTTAATATCTATTTGTCTAATGAGTATGCTCCATTTATGTTTACTGTAGCATCCACGCACAGCACTCCAACATGTGACAATATTCCTGAGCATACTCTAAAGGTCCAAGTAATTTTGTATTATCTTTTCCCATACGTATACATTTCCAGGGCCTGTTCCAAAGACYTCCCACTGATTTCAGATACTTCTARGTCTATGAATTCTCTCTTCCTCAAAATAAAATAAAATCAAGACTTTTCTTCCTTTATTTCCAGAGTCACTCATTTTCCTATCTGCTTTCCATCTTCCTCTCTCCTTTGATTATTTCTTCCTCTCTGCCCTTTCTGTCCTCATAGATGATCCAGTCTCATGAGTGGTTCAGTGACTCCATTTTCATAAGCAAACAGATGTAGCAGAAAGATAGTAACATAAACAGGCCAGTATCTGTAGGAGGAAACCTGATAGTACAAATAAACTTATCAGACTCACAAATGAAGTCTTTTTTGTTTTTTTTTTCCAGAGATGATCAAACCAATACTCTCAGTGTTGTTTGCAAGGGCAAAATTGTTTATGAATAACTCTCAGGCCCACAATTTTTGTGGCACCATCTTCTCTAACTTCTCTAACAATGACCTATTGCACTTCATAGCTGTAAGTTCCACTAGGGGAATATAATTGGAAAAGTAATGAAAACAACTCCACTACTGCACCCTGTTCTTTTCTCCCTTCCAAGAAGAGGCGTCCAAAGAAGGGTCATCTCTAACTCTCATTCATCAACAGAAAGATGCGATCTGAAAACCCAACTGCCATCCCTTGACTGGACATTGGGCCTCTTTTTCATGTTCAGTGACAAAATTCCTTTTGACTTTTATCCATCAGAGCACAGTTTAGGTACCTACTTTTTGTCATTATCCCTTCGGTAGAGAGTCATACCAAGGAAGACATGAGCCTCTGAATGCTCYCTCCACGTACAGGTCACTTGTGAATTGTAATCATTGTAGCAGCTCAAGTWCTGCATTGGCACACTCTCTGAGAAAAAAAAAAATCCAGACAAAGCAGGTACAGTGATTACAAATGTACATATGCAAATACAAAAATACAAATGTAAATGAATGGTAGCATGAAGTATGCAAGTTCTGCCACCAAAAAGGGGAAGGCACAGATAACAWTCATCTCGTGACAGAGGAAAATGATGTTCCATGAAAATAACCACTGAGCTGTAGCCATTCCGCACATTTCCACAATACACAAGTGTTCAAACCAAGCTACAGGTCTAAATTAACAAGACTGAAGTGAGATCTTTATGTTTTAGGGCTTATTTTAAGTATCAATTTCCAAAATGAGATTATTCCCAAGGTTAATGGATACAGCAATCAGTGAAGAGGCAGTCATCATTCCATCTTCATATAATACTGTGTCAGGCTTTTTTTGGCACTAACCTCCTAGTAAAGGCCAGTGCTCTGGAAATCATCTTGTTGGAGCTCAGAACAACCAAACTAGTTTTTTTTTTTTTTTTTTTTTAACTAGATTTTACACACAAAAAATGTCCATGCCAGGAAAAACTTTTTTTTTCAATCTCACAACTGTGAAATTAGAAAATACACACCTTCTGTTCATACAATAAGATAAAACAGAAATGATTTGTATATGCACTACAAAGCAAGTTGCTTTCTCTTATCCTTCTTTAATCTCTGCTAAGGCTAGTGTTTGTGCTATACTATTGAAATGTGACCTTCAGGTGACAGTGATGCCAGTATGCAAACATGAGTCAGAACTCTCAAATAATTTTCCTTTCTGAGAACTACTGTAAGTTTGACAGAAAAACTTTTGGCAAGCRAAAAACATCAAAAAATTAAGATAGTATCTTAGCTAGCAGGCCTAAGATTCACTTTACTTCCATCTTCTACTGAAAAGCAATATATAAGTAAGTTCTAGTACATCTCTTACTAATCAGGGAAATGGAATATCCTACAAAGAAAGTAATCTAAACATAAAACTGACACTTGGAAGGCATCATCTAAGAGACTAGACCACCCTATATTGTAATACATGTTGCTGCAGAGGTCTGAAAGGTAAATGTCCTGCTTTAGACACTGGCCAGATAAAAGTAGCTCTAAGAGCACACAGAAGAGGAAAGACATTAAACTCAGAAACAGAATGGATCTGAAACCTGGTCCATTTATATTTCAGCTCTTCTACAAGGATAAATATCAGGTTATTTGAATGTTGCTGTCCATAGCCATAGTCCATATATCTACACACCTCTTGTGTCTGTCAAACACAAATCTCTGTTCAAACACACTGTCATCCGATCCAGGCAGCCTGTCATTTTCCTGTGTTTTAACTTAATGTCAGGGGCTAGTCCTCCTGTCTATGCACCCACTAACCAATCTTGTTCTTCTCATCCATTTATTCAGGATTTTAGCTGTCCAGTCCTCCAGCCATACTACAGTTGATCTGTTCTCTATATCCATCTATAATACGCTGACTGTCTGTCTGTGACCACGATGTCTGTTCTCCTTTAGCAGAGAGGGTAACAGTAAAGCAGTTTAGCAGAAACGGTAAAGTAAATTTGAAACTCACCACGAATGGCTTGGGCACTGAAGAAAAAGGGTAAACTCAGCAAAAGGCTGCAAATCTCTTTCATGTTTATACTGTCCTTTGTTCACAAACTTGATCCTAAATCAGAAGATAATAGTTTTCATTGTCAACTGACAATACTCTGCTTATTCTGAAGGTTCTTGTTTTCGTTTTACAGAAAGAGAAGTAAAACTGAATTAGGGAACTCCTTTAGGCAGAAAACGTCTCATGGTGTGTTGGAGTGACATTTAGAAGGAGCTTCTACCAAGTACTTACTGTAGGACAAGACCTCCATCTTCTTGTTGTGTAAACTTGCAAAACAAGACAAGAATTAACAAATGTGTATTGTGAAGGTAGAGCAGAGGAATTCAACTAAAAGTAGTAATAAACAATCCTAATCTATGAAAAGAGTTTGGCCTCCAAATTCATTCATCCTTCTGCTTATCATGCTCAAAGCCCAATGGCCCCTAATGCTGCTCTGTTTTCTTACTTTCAGTAAAAACTTGGTCCTCAGCCACACATCTCAACCATGGGAACAGGGATTGAATCTCAGTATTTGCTCATTTTCAGGTATCTCTTCAGCAAGCTACTTTTTTCTAGTTCTTCCACAAATTGCATRTTATAGTAATGATACTAAGGGAAGATCATTGCTCTTTTCCTGATGACTGCAGAGATCCAGAGTAAATGTCAGCGACTCAAAGACTATAGGCTACATTCTCCAAAACTGTAACTCAGGTGATTTAGGCCATTCCTCAATGCTTCTCAAAAGTAAAATAGTCTCAAAAGTAGTAAAGTATATCCATGTATGTCACAGAGTTGATACTCTTGTGCTCTGGAAACCTCTAGAATGTAACTCTTTCTCACTTCAGGAGAGCCTGGAGAAAGATCCTTTTTAACTCTTACTGATTTTCAGATTCCTGAATGCCATTTCTTTACACCAGAAGCAACTGGCTAAGTCCTTGAAAAACCATCACAGCCAACAGATCCCTAAATGGTTCTTTAACTGCTGTTTGAGAGCCAATGGCTCTCTGCCATTTTGCTTTCCCCAGAGTGAAAACAGTTCCCTTACCTGAAATCAGAGCTGTCTATGCAGTAGATGAAGGGTTAATCTTCCTTTTCACCCTTCTCCACATCAGAAGCCTTTAAGCAGATGCAGACACCAGCAAAATCACATTTACTCAGACTGGAGAAGGGGGATATGAAACTGACTGTAGGATTTCCTTGCAAACTTAGCCTTTAAAATAACTGTTTTACTTTTTACGTACCTGAAATGCCCCTTTAAAGATGCAGGCCACCCCTTTTAAAGGAAAGGACTTGCTTACGTAATTGTACAGTATGTACTTCCTCTTTTAGCCCCCAAAGGCATTTATTCAGATGAACTGTTTAACTGGAAAGGGAGGGGAAGGAAGTATGTCACTGACCATCTGCATTTTCAAATTAGCAGACTGTAGGACTGATGGSGGGGAAAGAAAAAGGCGTGAATGGCTGCAATAGAATTATGACAAAATAGCAAAGAATTCTTTGTTTGTTTTTTTTTATTCCTATATTTTTCCTTTCTTTAGTCTAGTCTTTGAGGCAGGGATCATTATTTATGCTTTCATATATTATATGTGTATATACATGTGTGTGTGTGTGTGTGTGTGTGTGTGTGAATAAAGGACAGACTACCATTGTCTCTGTAATCCAATTAATTTGAGCCATCTTAAAAATTCTATTGCTCTATTGATCTCAACTATAAATCATAATAAATTATGATTAATAGAGTATCAAGAGGAAGAAAAAAAAGAGGGAAAACTGGAGAGAAGAGTTAATCAAAAAATACCCTACATGTAAGCTACGCACACTATTTTAAATCCAACTTTGAAGCTTAGCCAGTAGTCTTCAATGATGAAGTTGAAGCCAGTGAGTAAGGTCCACTTAAAAATGAGGTAAACTGAAGGGAAAGATATTCAACTTTAAACTCTCAGGAGTAAACTATGAGGAGCTCAGTCTTCAGATAAAGAATGCAAYTGTTGTGTCTGTCTGTCCTCCACTGTTACTAAGGTTTCTCTAAATCCACAGAGTGGTGACCAAAACCACAGTTACCACATTAGGCTTGTATAAGAATTACACCAATATTCTGGGAGCAAAGTATACTGAGAATAAAGGGAGTATGTGTGGAGGAAGGAGGAGGGTCTGAGAGCTTCCGGGTAAGCCGTGAATCATAGGGACTATCAGGAGAGATGCAGGAGATATAAAACCCAGCAAGCAAGGAGGGAAATAAGTGACACTTTTCTGGATAGGCAGAACTGAGTTCATATTATAATACAGAGGCAGAAAACTTTCAAGAACTCTCCTGCTCTAATTTTCAGAGGCTGATCAGGTTATAGAAAGTACATAGCTTGTTTGTGAGCAGATATTTTTCCTCTCTGTCCTTTCTCACTCAGACTGCTCCTCCATCTTCAAACAAGCTGGCCAAATCATTCCTCCATCACAGGATCTAACAGTCAGTGAAAATCTTCAGAATTTACTTGCTCTGTTGAATTCCAGCGGCAGGGAACAGGTGATCCTGCATATCAAAAACCTTGCAAGATCTGCATATTGATTAGCTTTCAGCTAGCTGACACCTCTTGATGCGTAAGAGAATACACCAAAAGATTATTAACATTATTGTACATTGTTTTCTCCAATKAATTTATACAGTGCTTTTAAAGTGAGAAGTTGTATATTATAACATTTTAATAAAATAATGTTCATTAAAAATTTTGACCATTGGAAACAAGAAAGCATAATCTGTACCTCTTCTTAACAAAGGTTATTTAGCTTTGAAGTGTAGAATGTGTGGATTTAATCAGCTCTAACCTTTTTACTTGGAGTAAAGATGTGGTTTGTAGCACACTTGACAGCCCTTTGGAGAAGGGCTATTTTCTTAGATGAGCCTATATAGCTCATCTAAGCTATGCATATAGCATTAATGCACAGAYAGAACTATGCACTTAGTGAAGTATTATGCAACAAATGGTCCATGGATCCCAGTCTAGCAAAGCATATCTTTAAATAAAAACTCCAACTTTATTTCCAGTACAATAGACTATTAAAGTTTAGATATATAAATTTATGCACCCAAATCAGGAAAAAAAAGCACCAAAGYTTAAGGGATAAGTCATATTTAAGGTTTGTTTTGTTTTGGAAAATCTTGTTACCTGATAGCATAACAGGTGACATCTAAGAAACAAACAAACAACAACCCCCAAACTTTATTTTGCCAGTCTGGGGAGGGGTGGGCTATCTGTGCCTGGTTAGAAAATTGGCTTTTAGTRCCTTCAGAAACATCAATCTTCCTTTTTTTTTCAGTATGACAAATACTTCGTAGAAAGTGGATGTGTAACAACATCACAAAAACTAACAGTTGAATCAGAAGCATAGTATTTGAAACCTCCTTTAATTTCTCCTTTTTGCTGATTATARCTCCATGTGATGGTATCCTTTTAATTACATGACTACATGGTATTTTTAAAATATAGCATTCTAGGTATGATAAAATTCATGTAAAACATACATAACGATTAATACTTACAAGCTGAAGAAAATTTGTTCAGGAAGAAAATATTTTTGACTGCATGATCGTTAAAGAAACAATTGCAAGATTTTTTTTTTTTTAAATAATAAATTCTTTTTTGAATGTTTAAGGGAGGCTGAAAATATACCATTCAAATTCTCCAAAATCATCTTACTTTCAAGAAAAAGAAGGAAGAATGAACTATTTCACCACCAGAATAAACATTTGAGTAGAAACTGATAAAATGAGTAAAATGTGACTTTACTTATGGAAGAATCTGATACAGTAATCTCTTGTTATTTCTGCTTTGTGATATGATATTTAGAAAGCAGAAAAAGAGACAAGTAGAGAAGAAATTGTTATTTGGATAGGCATCACAAATTTTCTCAGAATGTGGAAATAATTACTCTGCACAATTCTAAGAAGCATATGAGTACACTGCATTTGAAGTATGTTTACTGTACAGAATTTAAAATATTTCCCAAAGGATAGATGAAAGCAAAGGTTGGCTGAGATTTCTACACTGAAATAAGGGAAAGTTTTCTTGCTGTTTTCGTAAAAAAAAAAAAAAAAAAGTCAGACACCCAGATGATCAAAATAATTACTGCATTCGTAAGCATTAGCAAGCAAACATTCATGCCCGCAAATGAAGAAAAAATTATGGCAGAACTAGAAAAAAAATCTTATGAAGACATGCTGGTCAAATAAGTTTGTGTAGGAGAGAAGATAGAAATTAAAAAGGTCTTGAAGTTTAGGACACCACCAGACCTCTATTTCAGGCTAACATTGCTTTGCTTTATGAACAGCCAATGCTTTTACTTTTCTACTCATTAGTTTCTCTCGTCTTCAAGTAGATATATCCATTACACAGGAGAGCTGAAAATCTGAAGAAGCTAGCTAGCTATAGATTTTACATTGAAAGGTACTACATTATTAAATGTTTGGTTTTTTTTTCAAGTTCACCTCAGACTCTTCTTAAAGGAAATCATCTGCAGATGGAAATCGCAAAAAGATAATATAGTTACCTACTGAATATATTTCTCTATAGTGGTCATGTTGCTATTACTGTTGGAATAGCACCTATTCCTGGATTAGTGTTGTAGATGCTTAAGTCATCCTTGCGAGTGATGTGCAACTTCCAAGGGAAGATATGCTTCTCAGTAGGCTTCCTTCTGCTCTGAGACACCATGAGTTCAACATCCTGATCAGAAAGCAGCCGAATCAGATCACCATCAAGATCCCGATAATTCAAAACAATGTCATCTTGGTCAAACTCCTGCCTGGTAGAGAAGAAAGAGATTGATTCAATCAAAGGATGCCTATAAGTTACTGCATGCTAAATAGCATCTTGGAAATCTAATTTATTCTACCAGAACCGCACTAAGGTTTGTATGTCTTTCTTTGTGTTCTTGATGTAGAGTTTGGAGTAGAATCATATAGCCACATTCACTTTGTGTTGTGCTAAGCTTATGGTTACTTTCCTTGAGGGGAGGYCAGGCTAGGTAAGGAAGAATGTTGAGAAAAATCCTCTGTTACTAATATTTAATGCGCTGATGTTTTAATGTGCAACACTAGTTTAATGATCCACAAGCATTAGATGGTGGTATCCTGCATCTCAAAGTTACATGTTTGGGAATATGGCCCTAGTCTTAGAGAAAAACAAAGCAAAACAAACAAACAAAAGATACTGAATTCTACCTAACACAGCTGAGTTGGAAACATGTGGCATTCAGCACTTTCTGACAATCAAATGCAGATTAKCATCTGCACAGTTGGCACTAGGCCAAATCAAAGCACAAGTATTTCTTGAGGACAGTTCAAAATGTTTCATACCCAAAACATGGTGATGTCCAGGTAGAAWGTATAGAACATGGAAAATCTAGGACAGGAAAGAATATGACACGAATTTTAAGTGATATTAAATATTAAACTTTCTCCTTGCTCTGTACCTTATTAATTTCATTAGATCTTTGAATAATGGAATACTGCTCAGATCCTCTTCCACCAAGATATCCCTGTAACAAGAACAAACATTATCATCACATATCATGAAAAGAGAAGTATCAGCATCTAATCATCAGTAACCTGGAAGACCATTTCTTATTACCTGATAGTGCTCACTGTCTCCTCATGGTAATAACAGCGTACTCTATTAACTGTATCTTCCTGCTGTGGTAAATCTTTTATGATCTTCACAAAAGCACAGGGGAAAATTCCAGTGGAACTGTGAACTGTTCCCTGGAATGATAGGAAGTATTAGAATTACAGAAAAKAAAATGGTGTTTTAGCTATATATAACAATCATGAATTAATTTCCATGGGAACAATAATCATAATTTTTCTGCTTTATAAAGAAAAGAAACAAAAAAGAGCTATGGAAGTCACCTGATATCATCTCTACAACAAGATTATAAGATTGGATAGTCAAATAGTGGCTAATGACTGTACGATAGGATAATGAAACAACGTGCAAAATATCAAAGTCAAATGGCTACCAAGGAAAGCTGTGGTGTTTGAGTGAGTAGAGATATCCTATCAGCAAGCACACAGTATGTTCTTCTCATCCTTTTTCAGAACATTGCTCTGTTGCCCAAGTTCTCTATAATCAGGCTGACGTGTTTTGTGGTATTAAGCATGAAGTACCTTAAGGCAAGAAACCTATTAATCTCTAAAATAGACTTTCCAGCTCTTTGCTGTGGCCTTTTTTTTTGCAGTCTAACCACTTTAAAAAAAAAATCTGGCAGAAGCAAAGGCAAAAGAAAACCGAAAAAGAAAACCAAAGAATAGAGGACAGAAAATTTATAATCTAAAAACTATGAAAGAGGGAAATTAATTTAAACATAGAGTCAATGACATTTCCCTTACARTAAAGCCTGATTATGATACAGTTGCTCTTTGAAAGGAGGAGACAGGTATCAAGGACTAAAACAGTCACTTCCCATCGTATATTTCAAAGCATGATAAAAATTCAGTATTTGTACTGTAGTCTTACCTCCAACCAATCTTTGTTTATTCTGCTGAGTAGATAAATCAAGTCCCCCTTCTTAAAGCTAAGTTCCAGTTTATTGGCTCCAGAAAAATCAAACAGGGCCTAAGAAAAGTAATAATTCTAAAGTTATTAATTCATGAAATTACAGAGGTGAATCTGCCTTGCTTCTTCTGTCCTTTGCTGCATACAGAGAGCATAAACAAGCAGCATAGTGCACACACTGTCATCACAAATCTATTTCTGAGGTAAGATCATATACAGCACAATAGTCTGYAGTCCTCACAATTTCTTCTCCTGTTCAGCTTAGGAAAGAAGACTTTGAAGAAGTAGCAAAAGCAGCAATAACGGTTTCAGAGGGGTTCAGTAACAGGTTTCAGATCTACGTGCTAAACTGAGAGATATGGGGAAGTCTGGGAGATTGGCATATAGTTAAAATAGAACTTAGATGCCCCCTTCAGGTAAATAAAATGAGGCAAGCATGTGTTTACAAGCCATTAAGAAGCATAGCAATCTTAACAAGCTACTTCTTAATAATTAAAAAATCATTAAAATAATAAAATTGATTTWAAAAAATCAAAAATTTTCATTTTTACCATTGTCCTAGAGAACATATTAGCCATTCAAACACTCTCAGAAAAGCAAACATTAGAAGATGTCCCTTATTCTGTGATGAGATGAATCTTTTGGTCTCGTTAGTGTCGTGTTTGAGCACCTTATAAAAGCTGTCCTTAGAGTTCTCCTAATAAAAAATCGACAGTGACTTCTGGCTTGCTAGACGTTGATACCTTTACATAATAGCTCCTTCAAAAGCCTTTTTTCATCTATTAAAAATCTTTGGTATGTATAATAAGGTATGCATAATAAATACTAAGAAAAATGTAGATAAAACCCAAGAATTACCAGCAAACCAATACCAATTATCATTACTGTATGCAAAAAAAAAATTCATTTTTTAAATAACCTAACAAGAAAAAGTCATATGTTCCAGAAAGTAAGTCTCTACTTAGACAGGGGCTACTTTCAAGGCAGTTTCATGTGTGCTTAATACCAAGACAGTATACCTCATCAGCAAAGTTTTAAAACATATGCTGAAGTCAATAAGATTGAAACTTGTGTTTGCTTTAGATTTCATTTCTGAGTGGACTATGTAAGTGTGGACCTTTCGGCAGTGACTTCTACCTAACTCTTAGTCTTGAAGCTCCTGTCATTCTGAATTCATAATGGACCTTCCAGTTACTCAGGTAAGGAGGAATTATGGTTTTGCTTGTTTGTTTGTTTTCTCCGTCTTTTGCTTCATTCCCTATTGTTAAAAAGCAATTGCGTTTCTATGCTGATTTCCCTTTCCCTTGTTTACATGCTAACTGAAAAAGACATCTTGACCAGTGAGACAGCAGAGTAAAATGGATTTTAATCTCCTACGCTGTGGTAGATTGCACAGAATGCTTGCCTCTGCTCGTGGAGCTGCCGTGCGATCAGAAATAGGCGGTTGGAGTGAAACACTTTTACTGAAATAAAGAAGACAAAATGGAAGTAAATGCCTCTTCCTACTCATCAGAAATACCACACCGTGAACACAGTCTGTGTTTGCATTATCACAAGAAGCAGGCAAAGCCACAGAGAAGTAGTGCATGAGAATCTGTTGGCCGCATTGAAGTAAATCAACATAGATACAACCACATTGTCCTAGTTCTCTCAGTTTCCATACAGAGCAGCAGCAATCTGATGATGCCTGCTGCTGAGAACAGATGGAATGTTCAACACAGGCAGTAGCCTGGGCCTTCCTTCTACAACACTGCTCAGCATCCCAATCTGCCTTCTAGGCCTCCTTTTTTGAACATTTCATGGCATTCAGTTCAAATTCTGCCATCACACATACATTCAGGGATAATGCACATGCACTTTTTACAGTGTTTGAGCTATGCAAAGAATGAGTCCCTTTTTGGTATGTTCAAAGGAGAATTAATGCATGAAGCTTAATGAAGTATGATATCTACYTGGCAGTTTTTCAAAGGGGCTTCCATACTGCTAAGTAGGATGGGCCCCTACTTAGACAAGAACAGGAAAAAATGAAGTGCTCGGTTTGGTTCAGTATTTAAATCAGATCTCACTGAATGCACTGCTAAAACTCACATTGACTTCGGTGGCACAAGTTTGTGCCCTTAAGTTTGAACTGTATACTCTCCATATCGCCTTTTGATAGATAATTGTCAACAGACATAGAAAAATTTTTGAAAAAGAAGTTACAACTTCAGTTTGGAATTTCCCTTTAATGCAAATACCACACATACTTAAATATATATTTAAATATATATGTTACTTTAAATATATATTACTGTAAGGAAAAAATACCCAGTTTTCACCCTGCCCCAAAGGTAACCTCTAGGACTTCACGGATCCATCTGGGATACACAGTGATGATTATCAGCTCCCTTTCCCCCCTAAACTGAACAGCATCTCTTACACGAAGCAGTGATGAAGAAACACGTCAATTACTTACACTCGGCGTGTCCGTGGGCGAAGCCGTCTCAGTCTCTGAGGCACCTGTTCACTATCAAAGGTTGAGTGGTAGAAGAACAGCCGCACCTCTTCATCCATCAACACCCAAATGGGTAGGCAGAGTAGGTTCTGGGCCGAGAGCAAGTAAGAAACAGAATGATTACAGTGGGAGAGACCAATTCTCTGTTTATTTACATGTTTAACATATATGCCTCGCTGACCTATAGGATCATGAAGGAATCATGCTAGAAATCTCCCCACTCTCCTTCACAGTCAGCAGCACAAGGCTGAACAGTAATAGTTTCTCCTGATTATTCCTAGAGCTGGCTAATGTATCACTTCACTCTCTGTGTCCCTAAATTAATATAGCAGTAACTTGCTCCTTGTGTTTCTCTTCAGAGTGTGAATGTCTGTGAAAAGAGATGGCAGCCCTAAGTAGCAAAAGACTGTGTCAGCAAGTTGTGGAAAGCTTCAGAGAGTTACTGGCTTAAAGTCAGAGCTAGTTAATCCATACACAAAGAATTTCTCTCCCTGATATTGTTGGTTGCATCTCCAATTCAAAGCAGGTACATCTAGAAGCCCACTCCACTTTCCTACTCCTTAAGTGCACATTCCAACTACGTATGCCCACAACAACTTGAAGAATCTCCATTTCCTCATACATCTTGGATTTTTTTGTACAGAAGTCTAGATATGAAGGCAAAGACAGCCTTTGTAAACAGTGTACTCTAGTAGGTTACGACAGTCAAAATATTTTGSGGACTAGCATTGTAGAGTGTCTCACAGTGTAGACACTTTTGTGGGGGAAAATGCAACAGACAGCACATACCCAGGACTAGAGCGGTAAGATTTGTCTAAGTTGATTTAACAGGGTAACTGTCTGCAATGCTCAGCTCAATCTCTATGCTAAAATGAAGCTTTACCTTCATGTAGGCATTTAGAATAGGGATTCTGTTCTCAGCAATCTCCTTTTTGGCTCCTACATAAACCTTCCCTGGAAAACATAAAACCATCAACAGTTACTGAAAGAAAAAAAATAAAAATGAAAAGAGGTTGTCATAAAAATGAAGCAATGTAGAGAAAGCATGAAGTCCTGTGTCTCTTGGAAAATAGCTATTTTCTAATGGATTTCAGGTTCTAAAATGAATTTTACCACATGTGGACGGACTGCTTTATGCACCTTGACTTCTCATCTTACTTGGCTGGGAACTAGTTCCTTGTCACTGCTAGTAGTCCTGCATTCTTCCAATGCACTCATGTTTAGGAAAGGTAGGGACTGAGAAAACTACTACTCACATGCAGATTTTGAATTGATGGCTTACCTGGAAGTATGGGGAGTGTGCAGGTAAAAGGGCTGTTTTTGCTCTCTGCCCCATATCTTTCCTCTAGTTTGGCATGAAGAGCATAGAATTGACGGTAGCGGCGGAAAATCAGGTATCTGCCACCACCTTTAATCTTCACTTCAATGACAAACATCTGAAACAGAGAAGAGAGATTCAGGTTAATGTTCATATTTATTAAGATTTATAAAATGAAAGTGAGGCGTACAGTAGGAACATATCATCAGTATCTTGCTGGTGTCTTAAAGGCAGAGTCAAAAATAAGCCCTCATTTAAGTATCTAAATACTCAAGTACTAGAAAATAAGAAGATAGCATCAGATAATTATATGTATGKATCCAAGTTGCTGAAGGATCATGTCTCTGTGGGTGGTGTGTATCACATATTCACAGAATCAGTGAATCACACAAAATTACAGAGTACCTGAGGTTGGAAGGGACATCTGGAGATTATCTTTTCCAACATCCCTGCTCAAAGCAGGATAAACTAGAGCAGATTGATCAAGACTGTATCCAGTTGAATATGGAATATCTTGAAAGATGAAGACTTCACAACCTCTCTGGGGAACCTGTTMTAGTGTTTAACTATCCTCACAGTGAAGAGGTATTTTATTTCGCTCAGACAGAATTCCCAGAGTTCCATTTTGTGCCCATTGCCTCTCATCCTGTCTCTAGACACCGCTGAGAAGAGGTAATGTTACAAGGAAACCTGAAAGGACTAGATTCTGCTTTACTCTCACATATCTTCTTCCCTCTGAGCTGACAAATTATATTAGGGAAATAAATGTAAACTCTCTAATTTGAAATATAAATAAATTAAGATGGTAAATGAAATGAAGAAGGTAAGGGATCAAAGATAATGTTTTGTGGTAGGACGCTTAGGACATCTACATGTCCAGGTAGGCATCTAAAGAACTAGATTTTCAGAGTTGAGACAATTCATATTTCCTCYGACTTTGAAGTAAATTTAGAATGTCTGGTCTATATAATCTGACCAAAGTCAAGGTCAGAAGCAAAATGTCCCCYGACATCTAATGCCCTCTCCAACCACTCCTTTTTTTCTTATCTTTCCCCAAAACTACTTTGCTAGGGAACTCTTGATTCTCATGTACTGACCTTTGAGTCATGTTGCAGCTAGATCCTTCAGCAGATATAAAAGAYAGAGCAACTAAACATCACTATATTCCAAAGGGAAACCTGCATGCTTCAGTGGCAAAACTTTATGAGCAGTGTCTCCAGCGAAAACAGTAGGCTTAGCACAAGTGACACTGAGCTGGTCTTATCCAAAACCCTTTTTCAGAAAATCTTTTAATGCTTTTCTCCATTATTTCCTTCTTTTGTGCACTTGCATAACTCATTATCTGATCTAGATATGATATCAATCATATATTAGCCTCTGTGGAGATGAAAGTATCCTAATTTGCCAGTGCCATGGAAAATGGAGCCAATCTCCTCCTTTTTCCCTCTTCGTTTTTTCCACTCACCTCACCAAGGTCACAGCTCTCTAACAGGGAAGAATTTGGTATAGGTAAGAGTTTAGAAAACAAGCAGTATTGCAGGATAGATCTCTGTCAGGTTCACTCAGAGAATAATTTTTTAGACTATGTCTGTTACAGCATAACTTTCATTCCAGAAAATAGAAACTCTTGAGAACCTGTCAGCATGGAACCATTCATGCCAAAAAGAAACTTCACCAGGTTAAGTGCSTCATTTTCCACAGCCAAACCAGTCACAGCTGAGGTCATATAGCGACAAGATTGATCTCCCTTCTTACAAAATAATTAGTAAATCCTTTCTTCTCTTCAATGTCTGCAATGTTAGCTGAAACAGGCACATCATCGGGAAGCTGGTCAAAGTCACTGTGGAGCAAGAACAAAAGATTCAGGTCACTCAAACTGGTGTTAGTCTCTGAAAGTCTCTATGCCATACATAGTAAAGATATATGCTTGTTTCACATTGTTAAGTGTCAAAACCAAGAAGCTAGAACTGTTGGTGTCATTCTCTTTTTCTGGAGGTCTGATCTTGAGATGTTAAGCTTTTGTTATTTTATCAGAATTTAGTGGCAGTTGTCRGACTCGTTAAGCCTGAAAATCAAGCCTAGTGCTTCTGGTCTTGTAAGAGTAACAGGACTACCAATGGAAACTCTTGAGCTGGTAAGCTTTTCCTTAAAAATGAAGTCAACTGTGAATGCATTCTTAATTGTTCCTACAGTGTCTAGTAGACTCAGAATAAAACTATTGGAGCAGTATACCTTATTCTAAGGAGATAATTACACACTCCATAATTTACGTTATTATTAACTACATTACTGTAGGGAATAGTAAACAATTCTGAGAAAAGGAATTGTGTCAAATGCTATAGAAAATGTGAGCACAAAGGTGACAAAAACCTTACACTGTATATGATACACAATGTATATTATAAGGTAAGAAACAATAGAAGGAAAAAAAAAAAAAAGAAAATCCAAAGAAACAAAAACATAATAATGCACTACTTTGTAACTAGTGGTTCGGCAGCAGCTGTCAAAATGTTGTTGATATTTTTGTAAGCATAACAGTAAAAAAGAATTCTAAAGAAACTCTGGAAAAAGAATGACCAGGTACAATAAGACTTCACAAGCAGAACAGATAACATAAAGAAAGCACAAAGATATCTGTTTGAAAATATCAAAACTCTATGAAGGAAGTGATTATGGGCATGGTCAGAATTAGTTTTRCATCTCCTTAAAACTGAAGATGGACAAATTGCAAGAATTCCCAAAGGAATGCCTAAAGAGCAGCCATATGACCAGATTCACATATCATTTGCCTATATTGTCCACACAACAGCATAACACGGATTGGCAGATCATTTTCCTCTGGGATCTGCTCCTTGGCACAACATTTTTGACAAGCAGAACACAAATTCACCTTTGCCTTGGCCTTACATCATGTTGCTATAGTGCTATTTATATTAACACCTACATTAAAAAATTAGAAGCAGAAGAGAAACTGTAAAAAAGGATCATCTAGGAAATGTCGCACTGAATTAATGTTACATTTTCTGATTCCRCAAAAGCATGTCAGCTATTTCAGTTTATTCTGCTATCAGAATACCCCAAGCAGAGGCTTCCAAAATGGAGAGCCGATCTAGAAGGCTAAAGTAATGATGTAATGTCTTGCAATAGGTGGCTGTACGAGGAAAATGACATGAATCAGCACCACCCACAGCACCATAAGTACCACCACTTTCTGTGAAGAGGAATGTGGTTATGGAGATCAGGAGATATAATTAGTTATATCACAAACATTCATATCACGAACCCCAGTGACAGGGAAAATCTGTTTGCAGCTATAAAGAGGACAACAACCCCCTACTGCCTTACATGGTGGATATTCCTACTGGGAAAGGAAGAAGAAAGAAAGTGCACTCCAACTTAATAAGTTACCTGATCTACAATGGGAAGCCTAATATTTTGGAAGCTGTCAAGAAAGTCTGCATCAAAATTAAGGAAACAGACTGCAGGGGTTACACGKAGGCTTTGGGGAGGAGTGAGGAAGGACAGACATGTTACCTCTTTTCTCGCAGTTGTCGGGGAAGAGACATGCCTTCAGCTTCTTAAATCCAGAAGGCAGGCTGAGCTGAGCTGCTATTCCTCCACTTCTTGAGCAGTGTTCAGTGGAATGGGATGAGCCAGGTCACAGCATTCTTCCTGCATGAATCAAGACTCCTTGCCAAGGCATCAGAAATCTCTCACTGTTTCAGTGTCATCTTGTTCCTTCTGTATTTCCCCACCCCCACCAGACTGAGGAAGTGCTAAAGAAAGAAAACAGTCATAAAGAAAGGCTGGTTTCTGATGCCTGTTGTGTATCGAAATTGCTACAGTTGAGAAACCAAAACCTAACGAAAAGCTGAAATGGTGAGACATATATTCCATTGTACAACTCTTCACAGAAAGATTTGCCTCTGTGGAGAGCAAATACGAAATCCTACTATACAAAAATGTTTTATATCTACATCACACAGGTACCCATGACTGCAAGGCATGCATGGCAGCAGAAATTCAGACCCAGCAAAAACCTCATATAAAGTTGTCTGTGGTTGAATGTCCCTAAGATGGAAAAAGTGGGACATTTTGTCTTACGTTATGAGACACATAGCGTGTCTCATTCCTTGTCTAGTGATGACACAYCACTAGAAAAAGAGCTGACCTGGAGTTTATGGATTTCCATGAGAACTTAAATGGGAGTAGGCTAAACAAGCTTTGTTCTGACCCAGATACAATGATCCCAAATATACCACTATATTAACTAGCAAATATACTACCACTATATTAGCAATCTTTATAAACTAGATATTGATACCTTTGATCCCTTCTTAAGACTCTGAGAAGCTGAGGAACCTCCCTTCTATGGATCAAGAGCCAGGAAATGGAGTTAAAGAATAACTTATCCAGTGGGRAGGAGCAGGAGGGGCAATTATGAAATTCAGCCTTGTCAAATATATGGGTAGCAGGGATTTAGGCAAAAGAGATTAGGAAGTGAGCTGAAGGATGGGTCAATGAAGGTAAGAAATGGGTCCTTGAAAAAGCAGAGTTCCTCAGCTTTGTACGCTCAGAACAGTCCACATTTATCAGCTACGAAGACAAGATAACGGTTCACCCAAGCAGAGTGCTGGCTGCCCTACCTTTACAAAGGTAGGGATATAGCATTTGTAAGTAACATCAGTTGACAGTTTTTGGAGAAAAAAATAAAAGGAAGAAAGTCATGAGGAAACTGATATTTCCTAATGCTGTGGCTAAATTGCAGCATATTCTACCTGTGTTAGGCAAAAACCTGTCATGTGCATTATCTTTGCTGCTATATTTCAGTCTTTGATTGTCTTCCATTTTTACATTCAGTACATGTTTGGTTCGTTTTCATCCATCTGCACTCAAAGAAATATTCACATTTGGGTGTATGAAAAGTGAACCGGCATCTTTCAGAATAGTATCCTATTTACAAATATAGTYATCAGACTTAAGAATAAACTGCATTTCACTTCATTTTACTGAAGTAAACTCATCACTCATCACTTTCCCGCATATGATGGAAGGCACCATTACAGAATTTGAGAAGGGTTAGACTGTATATTGCAGGAGAAACTACAGAATTCTATGCCGTGTTCTCTGAATGATTTTATACGCTGTGCTGCCCACACAGACTTAGTAGAGTAGTTTTAAGATGGCATGATGTTCAATGTAAGTATCTCTCCAGGCCTTTAAGCTCTGCTGCATATTCTCTTTTCTTTATTAGGCCTGCTGGACGTGCAGCATTCACAYAACCCAGAGGCATACTCATCAGTCTTTTTCTTTCCCCTTGAATGAGAGCAACCATAATCAAGTTTTGTAACTGCAATCTTCTTGCTTCCTTCTGAAATCAAAAAGCAAATGAGACTAGATTACCTTGAACAGAACTCTTAATCACAAAAACAATGTATGCAAACTCAGGAAAATTCAGAGGGACCCTTCTGAGATGTGCGCRGTGATTGTGCGTGGCACGAGAACCGGACAAATCTTTAATAGATATGAAGGGCTGGAGRCACACTTTTAAAATAACTATTTAAGTTGGATTTATGCCGTAGTTTGACATGAAAAATCATAAAACATATATTCTAGTCTCTTCACATCTCTTGGAAGACAAGCTAGATATGATAYATGTATATCTTCTAGGAGATGGATAATATGACATTACTCAAAAATACTTGTTCGTTGTTCACTTGGAGACAAGGCTTTCCAAGAAGAGATTGACATCACAAACCAATCAGCTATGAAACTTATTTCCTGTAACCACAGAATAAAAAAAAAGCAAACTTAGAGCAACTCAGTTCTACTACTCTCTACTACAGATTGTGGCCAGTAATAATTCTAACTAGACAGAATAATGCAAATATTTTCTCATTTTGAGYGGCAACAAAACCTAGGCCTTCCTTTCTGAGATAGACAAGAAGACTGCCTCAGAAGAGGCCTTCTCTCCTGCCTCAGCAGAGTGGATAGTTTATTATTTAGAGGGCTCACCAAATCTATGGGTGTCTAAGGTCTGATACATTGATTTGCCATGTTCTTCTGTGCCAGATCTGTACTGGCCAGTACAGTACAGTGCCTGTTCTGTACYGGCATTTCTCTCTAAATCTCTGCAGTAGTGCTCTTGCACTCTGGTRCAAAACTTCAACCTGAGTCTTCTCCTATATCACAGGAGCGCCAGAGCTTCATCTTTGGTCCATAAGTCYAGTCACATTCACATTCTTCTGCAGCTAAAATAATCACGTTACTAGGACAAATGAAATAAACATCTGTTATAAAATTGGTACCATATTGACAGTATCACATAATCACAGAACCACAGAACCACAGAATCACAGAATCACAGAACAGTGGAGGTTGGAAGATAACTTTAACAAACATCTAGCACTGAAGTAGGGTGACCTAGAASAGGTTGTCCAGGATCCTACTTAGACAGCTTACAGATATCTCCAAGGATGAAACTCCACAGTCTCTCTGAACAATCTCTCTCATCTCTTACCCATAGGCAAGAGAAAGCAAATATCCAGATGCAACAAATAATAATAATAAATAAATTAAATGCGGCTACTAAAAAAAATCCCTCAGATGAATGTATGCTGATATAATCACATACATTCTCCCACGATAGCACCTGCCATATTATTTTGGGCCTGAATGCTTGTGAGCTCTGAGGTTGCAACCTTCTGTCTAATGTACATGTTGTTAGAAAATACTACATTAGAAAAGAAATGTATACCTCAGCACCTTGGAAAGCTGATAGTATCATTAAAACCAAACAGCCAGAGCAAATATGGAATGTGAATGGAAAATGGGAACAGAGTCCCAGACCCCTACGATACACGTAACTCAAAGGGTAAATAAAAGGAACTTAGCAAAAATACTCAGCTGATTAAGTTACGAGGACAACACTAGATAGCATATTTACAACTGCAGTAGTTGCCATATCCTTTTTGCTGTGCATGCCTATGAGTTCTTCAATAATAGCTTTTCTCTGATGCAGCTGTTAGAAGAGTAGTGTGTGGTTCTATTCAATCACTGGCTATACAATTAATGTGCAAAATGACAGAATAATATGAACAAAACTAATATTCCTAGAATATAGCTACTCTCAAACAGAAAGCATCAATCAAATACATAAAACCCATTTGTCTTGCAGGTTAATTTTATTCAATATACTTCARTGTTGAAGAACGTGTAATATTTGTTTCTGTATTTGTGTAGACACACAGTTGAGTGGCTTTCCTTCTACAACTGTAATGACTTGAGGTTGAGTTGCAACTTATATACTCTTTTGGAAAGGGATTGATTTGGCTTTATTCCATTTTCCACTTGTTATTACATTCTTTCACAGATTTTGTTTTTATGGCTATTGTCAGCTTTAAAGAGTGCTTTGGTACATATTTTCAATATTTTTTTGAATATGGTCATACTTAGATCATTATTATTTTTATTCAGACATAAATTCAGACATATTCAGACTGAATTATGGCTATGTAAAAAATTTGGACAGAAATTGCATAAGACAAAGTACTCATGTCTTTCCTGCAATTCTTTGTGAAATAATCCATGATCTTTTGCAGGGAATGCTATAAAAGTTGAGGAGACACTTGGTCCACTAATAAGCAACAGGACTGTCTTTTTCTTCTTTGAGGATAGCTGAAAATAAATTCAAGAAAAAACAATCAATGTTTTTAAAGTTGTCCTATCTTTGTGAACTTCTAAAAAATAACGAAGAAGYGTTAAGTTGTTCTAAGTGTTTTTATACTGTTCATTAAAAAATGGTTCAATCTGTATTGTCTAACTGCATAGACACTGTCTTGGTCACAATTTGTGGTGGAGGGAGAAAAAAAGACAAAGGAATATAGACAAGTGAAACTTTGGAAATTTGTTTTGATTTAAACCGGGATGAAGTTTGCATGACTGCTTGTTTGACTTTTCTGTTTGACTTTTCTCTTTAAAAGTAAAAATACTATTAGCAATTTGTAGAAAAGGACGATGATCATGTTCTGCTGACATAACCACAACTAAAAAATCCATCTTGAATGAAAGAAAATACAAAGGTCAGTGGATACCACTGTTCCTGACATTAAATATGGTATTATTTATAGAATAATACACTATTCAATATGAATAGGCCTTAYTGAATCATATACTAAAGAAACAGTGGAATATTTTAATAGCATTTTCTTGGAATAACGAACTACATCATTCCACTAAATAGTGTCTTTTGCYGCTTTATTGCTTGAACAAAACAATTCATGAAGAGATCACTATTGCAGAAAAAAAGATTACCTTTAAAAGTGGAATTCAGGTTTTTCTCTAGTCACCATCAACTATCTTGAAAATTTGCATATTACATCATCTTTCTGTGTTTCGTCACTGCAGACTTTTACAGTCAAATTTTTCCATCTTTTTTTCAGCTTGAGAACTGAGCAACATCAAAAGAAGCATTAAGGTCCTGCCTTATGTGTAAAACAATTCTGCCTTTAGAATAAATCTTCTTCCTTTAAGAGCTTAAGAAAGATACAGGATTTTTAACTGATATAGTAGGATTGTGCAAGATAGGAAGAATTAGAAGTCTTACCACAAGAACAGTGACTTCTGCTCAGACTGCACCAGGAGCTTCTGCAGGCAGGGAGCAGAAGTGCCCAACTCTGGAGCTGCTTAAGGGYTTGTTCAGATTCTGGCATTAGCGAGATTATGCTAAAAG